GGAAGGAAGGAAGGAAGGAAGGAAGGAAGGAAGGAAGGAAGGAAGGAGGGAGGGAGAAGGGGGAGGAGGAGAGGGAGGGAGGGAGGGAAGAAGGAAGGAAGGAAGAGGAAGGAAGGAAGGAAGGAAAGAAGGAAGGAAGGGAGGAAGGGAGGGAGGGAGGAAGGGAGGGAGGAAGGAAGGGAGGAAGGAAGGAAGGAAAGAAGGAAGGAAGGCAGGAAGGCAGGAAGGCAGGCAGGCAGGCAGGCAGGCAGGCAGGCTGGCTCTCTATATTGTCCAGGCTGGTGGTGAACTCCTGAGCTCAAGTGAGTCTCCTGACTTAACCTCTGGAGTAGCTAGGATTATAGGCATGAGCCACTGCACCAGGACTTTTTTCGTACTTGAAATTTTGTACTATGAGCATTTATTACTAAAAAATAAACAAACTTAAAACGGTTTGGTGGGAAACTACACCAGTGAGTTTTCTAAGTGTCTCGGCAGCTATGCATGATCTTCAGGTTGGAGGCAACCCCTTAACAAGTGCTGCCTCCAGCAGACACAACACCGGGAGGGGCCAGGCAGGCTCCTCAGACCCAGCACCCACAGGGGAACTGATCGGTTTTCTCTGCTGACTTCTGGAACCAGGTCTAGACAAATCCATACTCCGGTTCAGCCAAAGCAAGAACACTGTGTCCTCTGATAACAATGTCAAATTCTCACTTGTATGTAGTAAATAAGGAATATTTTACCTTTCAGCAAAGGTGTCGAGTTTCCCCAACTCATCAGAGAGGCCAACCAGGGAATCCAAGGTCCCCACCTAGACAGATCATAAAAACATCAGAGGCTCACAGGTTTCCAGCCAAGCATGATGCCATCTCAACAACAGGGCAGGGACTGTGTCACTTCATCTTGAATTTGTCACCTTTGGTCAATGGCCAAAGTGGAAAGTAGAAAGAACTCTTAATAGAAACCAGTGGATTTGGGGGTGTCTTCATTTACTTATTTTTGACCAACAGGATAAACTGTCATATGCCTGCCATAGGAAGGAGTGACTATGATGTTACCATCTGACCTTAGCTCATTTTCCTCTTAGAATGGCAGCTTGCTAGTCAGTCATGTTGTTAATCCCCATAGCTAAGGAAGAGATACACCAGAAAGCAAGTTAAAGAAGTTTCCATTCTTAAAAGCTTTTCTGCTCCGAGACAGTCCCACCAGTATTTATTTATTTATTTATTCATTCATTCATTCATTCATTCATTCATTCATTTATTTATTTTTTGAGACAGAGTTTTGCTCTTGTTGCCCAGGCTGTAGTGAAATGGCGCGATCTCAGCTCACCTCAACCTCTGCCTCCTGGATTCAAGCGATTCTCCTGCCTCAGCCTTCCTGGGTAGCTGGGATTACAGGCATGCACCACCATGCCCGGCTAATTTTTTATTTTTAGTAGAGATGGGGTTTCTCCATGTTGGTCAGGCTGGTCTCGAACTCCCGACTTCAGGTGATCCACCTGCCTTGGCCTCCCAAAGTGCTGGAATTGCAGGCACGAGCCACTGCGCCCATCCCCACCAGTCTTTTTCTCTGTTCTTTGCTGTTATTAACCATGATCTTGAGGCCGAGGTGGGCAGATCACCTGAGGTCAGGAGTTCGAGACCAGCCTGGCCAATATGACAAAACCCTGCCCCTACTAAAAATACAAAAATTAGCCGGGCATGGTGGCATGCACCCATAATCCCAGCTACTCGGGAGTCTGAGGCAGGAAAATCACTTGAACCTGGGAGGTGGAGGTTGCAGTGAGCCGAGATCGCACCACTGCACTTCAGCCTGGGCAACAGAGCGAGACTGCATCTCAAAAAAAAAAAAAAAATCTTGCTGGGGAAGGAGGCAGCTTTTCCTCCCACTTCGTCATTCACCTAGGTCCTTTTCTTTTCAGAGTACTTATGATCTGGTTTTTGTTGTTGTTGTTGTTGTTGTTTTTTGAGATCTCAGCTCACTGCAACCTCTGCCTCCCAGGTTCAAGTGATTCTTCTGCCTCAGCCTCCCGGATAGCTGGTATTACAGGCATGTGCCCCATGCCTGGCTAATTTTTTTTGTATTTTTAGTAGAGATGGGGTTTGGTCATGTTGTCCAGGCTGGTCTCGAACTCCTGACCTCAAGTGATCCTCCTGCCTCAACCTCCCAAAATGCTGGGATTACAGGAGTAAGACACAGTGCCTGGCCATGATCTATTTCTTAGTGTAGAAATGTCTACAATGTCCAAAATTGTATTTAAAGGTCTTTTCACAGAATTAGAAAGAAAAGGGTTGCTGTCATGTGGTACCACCAACTAGATGTTAAAAAGTAATTAGGTTCTGAGACTTGGGAGAATTTTAAGAAAAAAAAAATTAAGAAAAGTAATTAGGAGGCCGGGCACAGTGGCTCACATCTGTAATCTCAACACTTTGGGAGGCTGAGAGTTTGAGACCAGACTGGTCAACCTGGTGACACCCCGTCTCTACTAAAAATACAAAAACTAGCCAGGCATGGTCATGTGCCTATAATCACAGCTACTGGGGAGGCTGAGGCAGGAGAATCACTTGAACCCAGGAGGCGGAGGTTGCAGTGAGCCTAGATTGCACCACTGCATTCCAGCCTGGGTGACAGAGCGAGACTCCATTCAAAAAAAAAGTAATTAGTAAATGATGAAACCTGAATATCTCTACCAAGTCAAGTCGCTTCTTTTCAAGCAACTTAATTTTAAGCAACTTCTGCAGGGCCTGTGTCTTCTTTTCTTTTTTAAATCTTTTTACCTTCCAGAGTCCAGCACAGTGCCTCACACACAGTATCGATGAGTGGATGCAGAATTTACTAACCCGTACAGTGTCCATTGCTGGACAAGCAGGGGAAGGCTTAAAAAGGTAGCAAGATGTGGGTTCAGAACCCACTGCTGCCATTTACCGTCCTGACAATCCTTGTAATCACTTAGCCTCTCCCAGCCTGTCCCTGGAGTCAGTGGGGACAAGCTGACTTGTAAAGAGGGAGGAGGAAAAGCTTCCCAGTGATGCATTTAAAGTACCTAGCCATCAGCACCTTGCTCAGCAAATGTTAGCAAATGGGGTAGCATCACAACCCTGGGAGCTGATGGTGCAGCTGTTTTGGCAGAGGGGCAAAGTGAGGTTTGAAAGGGGAGTATATGGCAGTTTTCTACAAGAGCAGATGCTGGGCAGTCAGCGCCGTCTCACCAGCACCTGTGTCATCAGTGCCATCTTATCAGCACATGTGCCATGTGGTCTGGGAGAAAGCTGTAGTGTCTTCCCTGTGGAAACCTACAGCACTTTGGGAGGCTGGGGCAGGCAGATCACAAGGTCAGGAGTTTGAGACCAGCCTGACCAACATGGTGAAACCACCATCTCTACTAAAAACACAAAAATTAGCTGGTCATGGTGTCAGGTGCCTGTAATCCCCAGCTACTTGGGAGGCTGAGGCAGGAGAATTGCTTGAACCTGGGAGGCAGAGGTTGCAGTGAGCCAAGATTGTGCCATTGCACTCCAGTCTATGCAACAAGAGCAAAACTCTGTCTCAAATTTAAAAAAAGAAAAAAAAGAAAGACAGAAAGAAAAAAAAAAAAGAATTGTGCATTTCGGCTGGGCACAGTGGCTCATGCCTATAATCCCAGCACTTTGGGAGGCCAAGGCGGGTGGCCTCACCCGAGGTCAGGAGTTCAAGACTAGCCTGCCCAACATGGCAAAACCCCATCTCTACTAATAATATAAAAATTAGCTGGGCATGGTGGCACGCACCTATAATCCTAGCTACTCAGGAGGCTGAGGCAGGAGAATCACTTGAACTCGGGAGGTGGAGGTTGCAGTGAGCCGAGATCATGCCACTGCACTCCAGCCTGGGTGATAAGAGTGAACTCTGTCTCTTAAAAAAAAACAAAAAAAAAAAAAACAAAAAAAAAACACACACACACACACACACACAAAAAGGATTGCACATGTCTCATTCTTCTTTAATATTAGTTTCATTTGAACCTTGCCCTCCACTCCAAGAGCCGTTAGATGCCTGGGCACGACCCAAACTCCCTTCTGCCACCAAATCCCCTCCCTTCCCCTCCCACAGGACCAAAGGGATCCTAGATTTCCTCCCCTGCCCCCAGGTCAGGAGTACAATCAAGGCTGAAGCCCCCCCAAGCCTGCTCATCTAAACTATATGGTTGGTCTTCTGAGATGTTGCAGACAAACCAGGAGGAGCCAGAGGAACACCCAAGAGGAGCTGAGTGTGCATTTAACACACTTCCCACTTTTTGAAGCATTAGACACTGCTACCCACAACCTTGTCCCCCTGTTCATTCCTTCCTGTGGCTGCACCTACATAGGTAACACAACTAATCTGGGACTATGGCACGATATCCCACCTAGTCCATCACTTCCCCGTCCATCCTCAAACCTCAGCTTGTCCTCAGAGCCCCCGCATTTGCCTTGATACTTTCTCCTTGGCTTCCTGAAGTAGCAACCTCTGTCTCCCTCTCCCCTCTCCTCCTGACCAATCCATCCCCTTTTCACTCCTCCCCAGGAATTTTACCTTGAAGTCAGGAATAGCGAATTTGGTATTATAAGACAGGTTGGACTTGGAGGTTACAGTGTTCATCCTCTCCAGAGCTTGCACATTTTCCTTATCTCCAGGGGCGGAAATTAACCAAAACTCCGACATGCTTCCAGTCTTCTCTTGCCCAGTGACTGCCTAGAACCAGCACAAACATACACAAACAGAAACAGGAGGAGAGATGTGTCAGATATCCCCGCCTCACCACTCCCTACCCTCCAATTCATCCTTTCTAGGATCTGTGAGCTCCAAGAACATCCATTTGCAAAAGCAAAGCGCTTATCTCCACCTAGGCAGCCCTCAGGTGTTCAAGAAACTCCAGAGCTCCTTGGTCCCTGCAGTGGTTCTGGCTGGTTTTCAGGAGCAGAGGAGGAGGGAGAGGTTCCTTTCTTTCTCTCCACCTGGGTGAACAACCCCTATCAGGCATCATAAAACGGGAGGACAGTAAGCTGGAGGCGGACACCTTCTGGGGGAATATTTGTCTTCCTTCCATACTGCATCTTCTGGGATGCAGGATGGGGTAGAGGAAGGCGTGGGATGAGGGAGGGATTTTCACAACAGGCTACCAGGTCAAACCGCAGGTCAAACTGGCCAACCTTGTGATTGCTATTAGCTTTAAAAATAGACTTCAGAAGGATTTTTTAAAAATATATACATATATATAAGAAAAAAAAGTAGTAGTGGGTGACGGGAACTACTAAAGTCTTTTTTCCACTAGGCGAGGTGCCCGCTCAGCAGAGCTGGATCCCTGGCCCGGCCTGGCGGGTGGTTTCGCGGCCGCGTCTGCGGCCTCTACGGTCGATTCGATTCGTGCTGCTCCTTCACATGTGTCCACACCCGCACCTTTCCCCCCTCGGCCGGGTTCCCCCTTTCCGTTGCCTCTCCGCCGCGTCTCCGGACGGCTGGGGGAAAGCAGGATAAGCTCTGAGGAGCCAGAGACACCTGGTGGAACCTCTTCCTTTCGGACTCCCGGTCCCGCTCCAATCCGAGGGCGTTTTGTTCTCTCCTAACCCCGCGCAGACCCAGCCCAGCTCCTTTCCGCCTTGACTGCCCATGGCCTGGGGACGAACTGGCCCCCCGCAGCACCTGCGGAGATGCCACCTACTCGGCCGCGGGGGAGCGCGGGGAGGTGCCGCTGCCCACGTTCCCAATGGGAAAGCGCAGGCCGTAGCGCAGCCGGACCCCGTGCCTGTGTCCCCACCCCGCCCCCGCCTCGGGTCCCCGCTCTACCGCGCGTCTTTACCGGGAGCAGGCGGGGCGCGGAGCGCGCGGTAGGGGCTGCAGGCGACGGGCGGCAGGTGCGAGGCCGGAGCGCACTGCCGGCTCCGGGGAGGCAGCGGCTTCGCTGCCCCGCGCCCCGCCCCGCCTTTTATCCCAGGCGCGGGAGGCGGCCCCGGCCCCGCCGGATATTTGCATACGGGCCGCCCGCCTCTCGCCTCGCTCTAGCCGGGGGCCGGAGACCTGGGGAGTAGGTGCAGGCGCCGGGCGGGAGGGCGCGGAGGGGCCGCGCGGGGTCTCCAGTCCCCTACGCGCGCGGGCTGGGGCCCTGGGGGCTTCTGCGGCGCGTCCCACAGGGTCTCCAGCCGTACGACTGCGCTGCCCCGTCCCGGACGCGTGGACTGCTGGGCCGAACTGGAGTCGGGAAAGGGCTCCCAGCTCGGAACCACCCCGCCCTCCCGCTGCGGCCGCCGCAGCCCCGCCTGGTCACCCGCTCTCGCCTCACAGCGACAGGCGCGGATCTCAGGGGAATCACCTACTCCCAGGTGTCTCCAGGCCAGTGGACGAGACAGGGCCGACCTGTGGGGAACCACGCAACAGGTGCGCAGGTGCTCAGGACACACCTGGGTAGACAGCGAAGCTTTTCCTGTCCGTGTGGGCGCGGGTGAGAGCCCGGTTACCCAGGAAACTCCCACCTCACCCTCTCCACCTTCCGAATTGCTCTGTGGATGGTGGGGGAGGGGGGGAGTTACAGCTCACCGTGCGACGATCAGAGGTGAGTTCGTAATTGGTGCTATCTGGAACCAGGAGGGGGAAAACCTAGAAATTAACGTGTGAAAGTTAAAAACAAGACAAAACCAAAGGAAAACTCGGAGAACTCATTTTCTCTGGACTCTTTGAAGGAGAAAACTTTAAAGCATCCTTCCATGTAGGCGATATTTTCAGTGGTTTCTGGGAAGGATAAAGATCTCAAAAGTGTCCTTGAGGGGGCGTTGGAGAAGGTATTCTTGCTTCCTTAAACGTGGACTCCCCCTCCTATGTAAACTAGCCGTATCTATCAACCCATTCTTGTGAATGCATCGGGGTCTTTGGGAGAAGGATTTGACATCATCTGAGACTTAAGGTGGGATGGGAAGCCCCAGAGACAAGACAGAAAGCTGACTTTGAGATCACAGCGGGGTCGTACTGCGAACCTAGGGTAGACTTGGAAGTCCCAGCACCTGCAGCAGGCATCATTGTTATTGGGACACTAATGTGCATTAGTCAGTCCTTGCAACATCTTCCTAAGGGAGGATACCTGAAACCAAGGGATGAGGAAACCCCGGTATGTTTGAGGACATTAAGTGGCTATTCCAGAGAAGGAGTGGCTCAGTTAGACATTAGAGTAGGGTGGTCTCCAATCTTGGACTTTATCCAGGCACGCCATTTTATCTAGCCAGGGAAAATATCCTAGAGCTGCGGCAGATCTCATCTGCAAACAAGGGTGGAGATGCCCACAGAAGTTGCATGAATTGTCCAGTGTCACACAGCTGGTTATGTCAGAGCTACAGTTGGAACTCGGGCCTGTGACTATGTCCTTTCTACTGCTCCCAGCAAGCCTGCAGGACTAGATAATCAGGGTGAGAAAGAACACATGCTTTCTATTTTAGTCCACATTTTCCTATCTGCAAGGTTCAAAGCTATGGACCTGGCTTCTCAGAGACTGGGCAACACATTTAGAAGTGTCTGTGATTTTGCTCATGGCACCACTCTTTCTATAAATCTGGTTACCTGTAAATACTGGTTACCTGTAAACACTTTGTCTCTATTAAAAATAAAAAATTAGCTGGGCGTGGTGTTGCATGCCTGTAATCCCAGCTCCTCAGGAGGCTGTGGCAGGAGAATCGCTTGAACCCAGAGGCAGAGGTTGCGTTGAGCCAATATCGCACCATTGCACTCCAGCCTGGGCAACAAGAGTGAAACTCCATCTCAAAAAAGAAAACAAAAACAAAAACAAAAACAAAACAAAATAAAAACAAACAAATAAAAAAAGCTTTGTTCTGTGAAATAAGAGAGTCAGACACAAATAACTCCTGGATAGGCCAGGCACAGTGGCTCATGCCTGTAATGCCAGCACTTTGGGAGGCCCAGGTAGGTGGATCACTTGAGGTCAGGAGTTCGAGACCAGCCTGGCCAACATGGTGAAACCCCATCTCTACTAAAAATACAAAAACTGGCTGGGCGCGGTGGCTCACGCCTGTAATCCCAGCACTTTGGGAGGCCGAGGCGGGCGGATCACAAGGTCAGGAGATTGAGACCATCTTGGCTAACACGGTGAAACCCCGTCTCTACTAAAAATACAAAAAAATTAGCCGGGCTTGGTGTTGGGCGCCTGTAGTCCCAGCTAATTGGGAGGCTGAGGCAGGAGAATGGTGTGAACCTAGGAGGCGGAGGTTGCAGTGAGACGAGATCGCGCCACTGCACTCCAGCCTGGGTGATATAGCGAGACTCCATCTCAAAAAGAAAAAAAAAAATAGCTGGACATGGTGGTACACACCTGTAGTCTCAGCTGCTGGGGAGACTGAGGCGCAAGAATCGCTTGAACCCAAGGGGCAGAGGTGATAGTGAGTCAAGACCATGCCACTGTATTCCAGCCTGAGTGACAGAACAAGACTCCGTCTCCAAAAACAGAAAACAAAACAAAACTAAACTAAAACAACACAAAAATAACTTCTGAACATCATCTGATTAAGAAAATAATAAGGATCTACAGTGTTCCTTGTCTTCCTCAAAATCTTCCTACTCAAAATCTAAAATCTTTCTGGTCTTTCACATCTTAAGTTTCTTGTTTCATAGCTGAATTTATAATGGATGATGTCTACTGTTGCAGGGGTACCTTGACATTTTTCAAATAACTTTTTTTTCTGCTTATAAAGGTAATGCTCTTTTATTTTCTCCAACAAGAATGAGCTTGAAATTTCTCTGTTTTTTAAAAAGAAATTGGCAAACAGAGAAATATAAAGAAGAAAATAAAAATGACTTGTCATTTCATAATTAGCTGCTGTTAACATTTAAATTCTTTGTTACCGTTTAATGCATATTCATATATAGATGCAGACTTCTTTGCATGATTGAGATTATACATTATTCATAAAGCTTGGCATTCTGCTGTTTGCTTTCCAAAGATCAAAAAAGTTATCAAATGTATCTTATCAGTAAAGGATAATCCAGTGTCATCAGAGTTTACCACAGCTCAGAACTTGAGTAAGATTTTGAAGCCAAATAAAGACGCCTTGTTGAACAACTTATGTCTTGAAAAGGTGGCAAGGCGGGTGTGGGGGAATCTTGTCCAAGAGGTTGTTTGATTTGCATTTCTCAAAGGCAACCACATATGTGCTTATCCGTTTTGAGCTGATTTGTATTTTTCTCTCACAAAGATCAGCCTTTAACACAGATAAGTAGGTAGAAAACAACCAAAAGTTCTGGAGCCTGCTCCCTTGGTACATTAGAAGAGTGTGATTTAGCATTTACACTCTATAAGGAAAGTATTTTTCTTCCATGTTTCAACCTGAAGCACCATTTAGCAACCCATTTTCTGTTCCCTCCCTATACAACTTTAAGTCTCTGAAATCTGCTGCTAAAAGACTTAAAAGTTTATGTGCCTTAATCACTGCTTTTAAAATCCTCCCCAGGTTATAAAAAATATAGTACCCAGGTCATAATGAATACCATCTCTTCCCAGGAATAAAGGCTGGGGAGGAGATGCCAGAAGCCTTGAGTCATCTCTAGCTTATTATGAATTTGACTTTGGTTAGTTATTTCTGAAATGTTTCTGCAGTTGGCACTGGTCGTGCACTGAGCCAGCTGAAGTCTGTGCAACATTGAACAGTCCCGTCAGGTTTGGGAACCAGAAGGGTGAGGCTGGCCTCATTAGTCTGTTGTCCTCTGGCCACTCCCAGCTGATGTATTTTGAACTTCTTTATTACTTCATAGCCATCCAAAGATGATGCTCTTTCCAAATCAGCCCAGATATCCTCGAATCTCAGTCAGCTCACGTGGGTTGTTCTGGGTTTTGCTGAGAAGAACCCTGGGGAGTTTTTCTATGGGAACAGATCTATGGTACAGAAAAATTTAAGTAGAATTGTCTCTTGCGAGTCAATACGGTGCTGTAGAAACAGATTAGGCTTTGAGATCAGACAGTCGGAAAAGCCGCTTACACTTGCTATGTTTCAGGTTTCCCGGCTGAAAAAAAAAGGAGCGAGAGTATGCCCGCTTTTTAGGCTTGTTATGAGGATAAGACGGAACAGCATTTCTGATGAGAGCAACTGAATAAGAGCTCCCCTCACTTCTCGCTCTCCTGCTTTCTTAGGTTTCTCTAGGGTTTCACACATTAAGTGTGGCACATTGTAATAATCTCTCAAAATCATCTACCATCCTTCTTCAGGGCCCAAAGTTCTCTCATCTGTATTTTCTCTTTCACCCAAAGTCTTTGTGATTTTAGGGCAGCCATTGTTATGATTGTCATTGTTTTGGTCTCATTGTTTTGGTCAGAGAAATTAAGGCCAGGGAATTCTCAGGATTTGTCCTAGTGTACACAGACGAGGAGAAGTCACCTATGTTCACTTCCTCATCTAACAAGTTTTTTTTTTTTTACCCACAATATTTGCCAGGCACTGTGGGGCATGCAAAAATAAATCAGTGTTTTCATACTGGTAGTAGAGCAAAGCAAGTTTCATAAACAGAATACCGAGCGGTTCCAACTCACTAAGGTCTGAATACAAAACACTAAGCAGGATGTGATATGTGCATACACACGAGGTGTAGACATACCAGGAAGACCATGCTCCTCATTTCACAGATGAGGAAGCAGGCTCAAGGAGATTAAGTGAGCTGATCAAAGCACACTTAGTGGTAGAACCGGGTCTTGAACTTCATTCTTCTACCTCCAAGTGTCTCTGGCATTACGAGCTCTAAACCACCCCTCTAGGCCCCATGCAAAGACCTAGTTACTAGCACTCAGCGTGTAATTGCATTTGTTCGTTTGTTTGTTTTTGAGACTGAGTCTGGCTCTGTTGCCCAGGCTGGAGTGCAGTGGTGCGATCTCAGCTCACTGAAACTTCCACCTTCTGGGTTCAAGCAATTCTCATGCCTCAGCCTCCTGAGTAGCCGGGACAACAGGTTTATGGGTTTGATTGTTTGTTTGTTTGTTTTTGACAGAATCTGGCTCTGTTGCCCAGGCTGGAGTAGAGTGGCGTGATCTTGGCTCACTGCAATCTCCACCTCCAGGGTTCAAGTGATTCTCCTGCTTCAGCCTCCTGAGTAGTTGGGATTACAGGCACCGGCCACCATGCCCAGCTAATTTTTGTATTTTTGGTAGAGACAGGGTTTCACCATGCTGGCCAGGCTAATGTCGAACTCCTGAACTCAGGTGATCCGCCCACCTCAGCCTCCCAAAGTGCTGGAATTACAAGTCTGAGCCACTGTAACTGGCCTACATAAGTCTCTTAACGTCAGTGGACTTTTTGGTAGGCTGTAAACTGTGGTTAATAACAGTACCTGTCGGCCAAGCATGGTGGCTCATGCCTGTAATCCCAGCACCATGGGAGGCCAAGGCAGGCAGATCACCTGAAGTCAGGAGTTTGAGACCAGCCTGACCAACATGGAGAAACCCTGTCTCTACTAAAAATACAAAATTAGCTGGGCGTGGTGGCACTTGCCTGTAATCCCAGCTACTCGGGAGGCTGAGGCAGGAGAATCACTTGAACCCAGGAGGTGGAGGCTGCAGTGAGCCGAGAT